CAGCACTGTTGGCGTGCATCCCACTGCACTGTTGGTGTGCATCCTGCTGCCGTGCTTCCAGCTGTCATTAAAAATTGCTAGCTACTCTGAACACGTGGCGGCCCAACGCGCAGCCTCAACAGTGCACAAGGCAGCTCCGGTGGGGACAACAGGGAGCGGAGGGTCACCAGGTGTCCAGCTTCAATGCACAGAGACTGGGGCAGAGGCAGGGAGGGGGGCACTGCACAGGCCACCACTGTTAGCCGGAGCAGGAAGGGGCCAGTGCAATGCGGGAATCCTAACAATCTCTTCAACCTTGACTCTATAAAAATGAAGAGCTGGGGCTGGAGAAATAGCTCAACAGTTTGGTTCCTAGCATCTCTGTCAGGTGAGTGCCAGGGATCCAACTCCCTCTTCTGTACTCCAGGGACACGTGCGAGCATGTGCATGAACACACACACACACACACACACACACACGCTCGCACGCACGCAAACACATGCGCGCGCGCACACACACACACACACACACACACACACTGAAAACTATAAAAACAAATCTTTTCTTGAAAAGCCCTAATATTCTCTTTGGGGCAGGTTTCCCATCACAGCATGCTTTGAGTAAGAAGTCCAAAGGCCCTTGTTATCCAACAGCTTAGTGGAACCCTTTTCTTCTAACCAGACTGTGCTCAAGTGCTGGTCTTTGACATCTGTCTTATCCCTCTGAATTTGACAGTAGGAAGCTGGCACCAGCAGTAGGAAGCAGCAGGCAGCGCCCTCTAGAGGTGTCAACCAGGCCTTGCATGATGGGATTCCTACTTCTGTGTTACTGCTCAAGTGCAAGACTAGAACCGGATTCCTTCACCTTTGGCAGAAGCAGACATTGCAGGATTTCTTGGCCTTTGACTGGCCACTGTTATAGCTCCCAGTCCTTGAAAGACTGAGGCCCTTTGCCCTACAGGTCTTCTCCTTCCTCGGGATTGTTGGCCACCGGTTCACGAGACTGGAGGGAAGAGAAGCTGGGAAATGGATTAATAAAAATGCTGCAGGATCCACGGCGGTGGCAGGCAGCAGAAACGCTGCAGATCCCCAAGCGGTGGCAGCAGGCCATGTGGCAGCAGGCAGCGGGCCCTGAGAGCAGCCAGTCCCAGGCAGAGACGGCTGTCCCCAAGCAGTAACTGGTCCAGAACAGGGAGACACGTGGCGGCAGGCAAGAGACAGAGACCTGGATAGGCATGCCATGCAGAGTGAGGCTGGATATTTATTTAGTGGTTATGAAAGGGAGGGGAGACGGGGGGTGGGGAACACACACAAAAAAGCTGCCTCTTCCGAGAGGGAGACAGAAAAAGAGAGAACCCAGGCTGGAAGCTGAAGATCAGCCTGTCTCAGCGGATGGGGGGAGAGAGTGGGCGTGGCTAGTCTCTTAAAGAGACAGAACAATCATTACAGATACAATGGAGATTACTGTTAGGAATATTTCCTAATGCGAGCTCTCTGCCAATGCAAATTCCCAAACAAGCCAAATCAAAACAAGCCAAATTAAAAGATGTCCAGGTTTAATGGGAGTTCTGCGCTCTGGGAAGCCGCGCACATGAACCAAACGCAAAACGAAACGCTACCACCTGGAGGAAGAAAAGGAGACCATGTGTTCCTCTTTTGGGAGCTCATTTAAATACCCTGGGCCTTGGAGTCAGGACCTGGCCTGCTGGGATTTGGAGTCCAGAGTGCTGACTCTCCGGGTCAGGGGACTAGGATAGATGAGAGGGGCTGGGGCCTAAGCTCCCAGCTTAACAATAACTCCCCAGGAAATGGCTTCAATGAGACAACTAGACTTTATTCCAGAGCATATGTATATATATATGGTTTGGGGAAGGTAACTGGGGAATCACCTAATTTGCATTAAAGTCTTAGCTACCATGTGGGCAACAGGGAGAAAGCTTCCAGTAGAAAACTATGCCAAGGGTCATGCTAGAGATAAATCAGGCGTCTAGGCCTAGAGACAGCTTTCAGATAAGGTCAGTCCTCAGGACCTAGAGACAGCCTCCAGATAAGGGCAGGCAGAGAGCGGGAAGTCCTGGCTTGGGACGGAGTCTCTTCTGTTGCACAGCTTGGAGAAGGCTGCCGAGCCACGGTAGACAGCAATCTTTGACCAACATGGCCAGCAAGGCCTCCCTACATTTCCCTGAAGTTTTGAAAGTTCTCTGAAAGTTCACCAGTGACCAGGGCTTATAGCTTCTCTTTTCTGGCTCTTTAGATCCATCCATCTATCGATATTCAGCCTCACTTGCAGATTCTTTCCAGTGATCCTGCCCCGGCCCTTCTCTTAAACCGTTCAGCTACCTCTTCTTCAGCTTTCAAGCAGTGGGCTGCCTTGCTGCTTTTGTGGCTTGACTAGCCAACTGCTCAGCTGCTTCTGCTTCTGCTGTTTCACGGCCACCTCTGCATTGTGCCACGCTGCTCATTCTTTCCTGTTACTGTCTCAATCCACGCTTCTGCAAGTGGGCAAGAAAGGACCACTCAAGAGAAGGCCCTTATTGTAGCCCTACAGTCACAACACCAGGAAAGGCCGCATAGCAGGAGGGAGGCTCTCTCCCATCTGACTCACCAAGTAGACTCAAGAGCCTGTTTATTTATACAGTTAGAGAAGTGGTTGTTTTCACCAATCAGAACAAAGTTCGCATGCAAACGAAGGTTACATTTGTACCAATCAGCGCAGCTCCCTCCTTGAGTAGTACTCTCTGCAGCGCCTCTGCTGGTCAACCCGGGAAGTGCTTCACCTCTCACGTGGGTTGGGGCTGGTTGTAGGGTCATTTAGAGCTCACTGAAGTTTGTCATTGCAAAAAACGCGGCATAGAGGGAATCAGTAGTGACTGGGGCAGCATCTCCAGAAGCCAAAGCAATCAACTGCAACTGTTGTATATTTTCCGTGGAGAATTCAGGAGGACCAGCAGCTTTAGGGTAACTCAGCCAGCTGTTGGGCAATTCTTTGGCTCAGGGACAGCCAAGGTAACAAGAGAGGAGAGCCCAACAGCTGCCAATTAGGGCGCTCAAGTAACCCATTCTCCAATGTCTTTGCATATTTCCAGGAAAATAAGCATCAGGAATGTTTAAAATCTGAAAACGAAGAAATTATCATTGACATGGTGATTTGAGCAGATTTTAACAGTGCTCTAAGGGTGCTTAACACACAGAGGTGGGCCCACAGCTTCTCAGCCCCACCTTCACAGTTTGCCCTGAGAAAGCCTCTCGACTCACAGCGAACAAACACGGCTTGACACAACTCACACAATAAGCAAGAAACCAGCAGGCAGAGGTGGGAAGAATGGATTTTGTGGACGGGCTGGAGAGAAGCAAAACAGAAAAACCGGCCGCCTCTTGAGTTGGTTTGTCTACGTGACAAATGCTTTTTGAATTTGTGCCACGTACAAACGACTCTTCAGCCACAAACTGACCCTCCTCTTCATATGGACTCAGATTCCTATTGCACTTGCCTCAGCCCCTCCTCCTCTCCTCTGTGGGCCTCTTCTGACTCGGAAGTGTAGGAAAACACGTGGACTCAATCAATCATGTTGTCTGTAAATCTATCTAGCTTGGCATCTGTCTGGCTCACTTATGGCTGTGCAACAAAGCACACCAAAACTTGGTGGCTTAAAAACAATAGTCCTTTTGTCACTCGTGATTCTGTGGGTCAACGATCTGCGTGGGGCTCAGTGGGCATGGCGTGTCCTACACGTGAGCTCATCTAGATTATTGGCTCAATAAGGCCTGCTGGATCCAACAGGCCTCCCTCCCTAGGTGGGCCCCATAACGCCTGCTGTCTACCCATTACACCTCAGCTTTCCAGTGGAAGAGGAAAGATGAATCCAACCTGGTATGTGTGTTGTATGAATGTGTATATGTGTATACATACATGTGTACATGTGTGTGTTGTGTACATATACATGTATATGTTTGTATCTGTATGTGTGTATGTGTATGTGTGTTATACGTGTATACACATGTATGTGTGTATACATGTATGTATATATGTGTATTGTGTGTATGTTGAAGGAGCAGAACAAACTCCATTTTGAGAAAGAGCTCCATTTTAGACAGAACCTAACTAAGTGGGGGGGGGGGGCCGGTGAATGCAGCCTAGCAAAAGTCATAACATTCCCAAGAAACTGTACCAGGCTTGGTCAAAGTGACCCCACCAGGGCATCCAAGCAACTTCTGCTCGCTTCAAACGTCCCTGTAAGTATCTGATTAGTTGCTATTTTGAATTTTTTTATCCGCTGACAGTCACTGTTTTGAAATTCCATTATACCCCAACCAACAAATTCAAAAGTTGTATACTTTTACCCAATCCCAAAATGCCAAGGCCTGTACCACCATGCTTACAATTTTCCCTTGAAAATACCCTTACCCTGAAGCCTCGGGGTTGTTCTCCCATACCCGGTGTATCAGAGTCACTGATTATATTCTGAGTTAGCTAACTTGTAACCAATAACACCCAGTGTGTTAGCATCAGATGCCAGCTCTGTGGTGGTCTTGTTTGGGGGTCCTGTAACAGACGCTGGCACAACAGTGTGTGTATATGTATGTGAGTGTATGCATGTGTGTATGTATGTATATATATATACAGTGTATGTATACACTGGAGATAAAGCCTAGACTTTGGGCCTACCAAGCACATGCTCTGAGTTATGTCTGCAGCCTGGGACCTCATTAGAACACTGCCAGGTCACTAGAATTGGTTTAGTACATTCCTTCTTTTCTCATTGAGTGCTTATAAGGCTTTTAGATAGTGGCTGCCTGTGCAGTGATATTTTCTTTGTGATCTAACAAATAGAGTTTGCCTGAAGATCAAAGTACAGAACTAAGCCACTAGTTAGTCACAGAAGCCAGACAGTGGTAGCACACACCTTTAATACTAGAACTCGGGAGGCAGAGGCAGATGAGCTCTGTGAGTTCAAGGTCGCCCTGAACTACACTATATTGATCCAGTCTCAAAGAGAAAAGCAGAACCAAGTGGTGGTGGTTCACACCTTTAGTCACAGTACATGGGAGTCAAAGGCCTTTAATCTCAGCTCTAAGGAGGTGGAGACAGGAAGAGAGTCTGAGACGCAGCCTGAGGATTCACAGAGACAGGATCGCCCCTTCAGTATGAGGATTCGGTAGAGGTCAAAGGTCTCTCTAGTGGCTGCTTCTCTGATCTTCAACACTAACCCCTGTATCTGACTCTGGGTTTTTATTATTAAGAACAATTAGAATACGTGCTGTATGCCTGGGCCTCTCAAGCAAATCATTTGCTAACAAGGTGCGGGGCTTTGCATCAACATCAGGGTCGTCTTTGTCTGCAAAGTCATCCTTAAGAAAATGAATGGGTATTTTGTTCATGTTTTGGTCAGGGGACTAAATCGATCTAAAAACAGTTGATTTTTTTTTTTCTAGTAAGAAAAAAATCTGTGGCTCAGAAGCACAGTGTATGCTTAGAACTGTAAGGTTCAGGGTTCCATCCCTGATAGAAGGGAAGGGTAGGTGAGGGAACAGAGAGCAGGGGAAGACAGGTGAGAGGAAGGGGGAGCTAAGGAGCGGGGAGGTATACTTCACCTTGGGAAAACCCAGGGAAGACAAATAAATCAGTTGCTTTCTTGACTCGTTCCTCCCCCACTGCTAGCTTCTTCCCAGATTTTCTGTTTATCCGTCAGCAGTCTTCAGCAGTCTAAGACTTCCACACAAACACAGGTGAAGCCAAACAGAAATGAAGGTCAAAGAGCATCCCTGCAGTACAGAACAGTCTCTGTGTCGGCTGGTTAGCTTGGAAATACCCACAATGCCCAGCGGGCATCCTGTGTGCCTTAGAGTTGGCAGCTGACAGACACAAGGAGCAAGCGTGGTTACAGCCCGGGCTTGGAGGACTGGGGATGGCAGTGAAGCCTTCATTAGCTATTGTCTGCTAGCTGTGACCCTTGACCTCTCCAGGTTTCCAGTCCCACAGCTGCAAAAGAGGGACACACTCGCAGGCTCTGAGCAGGATGGGCGTGGCATGGCCCCACAGACTGTCAGTCGCAGCCCCCTTTTCATCAGCTGAACCAAGCTCTGCTGGACTGCCCTCTCCTAGAGTTGCCCTTGGGAGACCCTGCACCCCTGTCACTCACCTCAAGCCAGTGGCATCACTGATGAGTCATTTTGCCAGGGGCACACATAGCAAGCACCAGCATTAACGACATCACATTTATCTATTGTGCCTGAAAGGCCAATGTGCTACAGTACACAGAGCTCTAAATTCCCCAGCAGTCCATAGTAAGCCCATGTGCTTTCATTCTGTGTTGCCTTGAAAATTCAGGTAAGGAGCAGCTCGTTCACACTTTATGGACTCTCAAGCGTAGATCTGGATCCCTAGAACTGATGCTCAAACACTTCTGGAAGGACCTAAAAACCAAACCAGACTCAGTGATGCAAATCTGTAATCCCAGCACTTGGGATATTCAGGCTGCAAGATCATGACTTCAAAGTCAGCCTGGTCTCCATAGAGAGTTCAAGGCCAACCTGGGCTCTAGCGAAGGCTGTGCCAGGTACATTACAAGAACTAATGTAGTGTTAGCAATCTACTTGGAACTCTCCCCTGTAATGTGAGCCAAGGATGAGAGACAGCATCACGTAGTAGTGGGATTGGAAAATAGCCGGGGCTTCGCTGGGAGCCTTGTGCTCCTCCATTCTAGCTTTCCTTCTGCGTAGTTTCATTGTGTCGCCATAACACCTAAAAATAAATGGCTTTACTATGAATCTGGGTGTGCTATTTCTGTCTGGACATGCGGTAGCTCATGCTTGCCATTCGAGCGCTGTTCAGTGAGCCAAAGACTACGTACAGGATGTGGTTTGACCAAGTTGTGTATATATAGCAAGTGATCAGGACAAGTGAGCTATTTTTATGAAAGTTGCTTAAGTTTTCATCCCAGATGACAGCCGTATAAGATGGCTACTGGACAAGTAGTGTGCATTCCTGCAGGATTCAGTACAAGCCGCTGCATTTTCTGCAGGATGCCACGCAACTATCTGCAGACCGACAGCTGTAACCCCGCAAGTTTATCTTCTGCTATCTCAGTTTAGTCACCAAATACCGTCTGAAGCCTCACGTGGCCAGTCATGCAAAAGTCCATGCTCAAATAGTTCAGAAACCCGTTCACGGTCTAAAGGTTCAACTCAGGATGTGGGTTCCACCCCAATGGCAGCCATCACTGCGGAGAGTAAATGTCTAAACCTAACCTTCAGAGTTTTTTTTTTTTTTTAATTGTGACTGTTCATTTAGATGGTGATGTTACAATACCAGGATGGCCCTCAGGACTAGACGCATGCTATGCAAACTTCCTAACACTGATATGTAGTCCCATCTGCCCTTTGACTTTCTTTTCTTTTTCTTTTAGTTTTAAGACAGAGTCTTAATAGAGTCTTAGGTTGGTCTTGAACTTACTCTATAGTATAAACAAGCTCTGGACTTGCCTCAGTCTCCTGGGGAGCTAGGATCACAGTTTCACATCACCAGGGATGGCTATGAACTTCAGTTTTATGTGTGTCGAAGCAACATATGTGTCAGGGCTGGTGCCACAAGTGTATAATGAACCCCAGCACCAGAAGACTAAGGTGGGAAGATCAGGAGTTTTAGGCCAGCCTGGACTACATAGCAAGACTCTGTCTCAAAAAACAATTGTTTACCTTCAAAAGCCAAAAGTTTGACAATGAAGAGTCAGGCATCGTGGTGCACATTTGTAATCCCAGCACTTGAAAAGTAGAGGAAGGAGAGTCAGGAGTTCAAGGTCAGCCTCTGCTATATAATAAGTTGGAGGCCAACCCAACCCTCCTGAGCCCTCTGTCAAGAAAAGAAGGGGACAAAAGGAACAAGATTTTCAATGAAAAGGTCCTCAGCAGTGCCCACCTGGGTCTTACAGCTCTCTCTTCTAGATTTCTAAATATTATGCTTACCCTGATTTTCCTAGGTTTTCCACTGTCCAGCTTAGAAGACTATTTTCATGGCGCCATTGTTCAGCATTCACACTCAGCTGTGCAAATATTACCCAATAAGTCACATCGATTTTCTTGTGCAATTTTTTACCTGTAAGTTAATAATTTGCTTAGTTTTCTAACTATCTCTAGCTCACCATGAAGGTCAGCCTGACTTGCAAATTGCTTCTCAGTCAGTCACACCCTTGGGGTGTCCTTTTGGGGTTTGTTTTCCTTGACTACAATCCTTCTAGAGTGATAATGCTTCAAATTACTGCTTCCTTGAGACTTCATTTTATGTATGTATGTGTGTATGTATGTATGTATGTATGTATGTGTATATGTGTGTGTCAGGGTTTCACCAGTTTGTCCAGTATGGCCCTAAATTCACAATCCTCCTGAATCAGTCTCCCAAGTGCTGACATTCTAGGCCTGCATCATTACACCCAGCTCCCTGGAACCTTCCAAGGGCTTTTCCTTGCTAAGATGAATTAGAATTTATTTTAGCATCTGGTCAAATAAAGAAAAAGCTATTTTAAGCTACTCTTGTAGGATGTTGAGTATTGAACATGAACAAACCGGTTTCCTGCTGTCGACAAACTCTGGAGGGGGCAACCCATGACACAAGAAGAAATTAATACTGTAGGAAGAAGAACTGGGCATCTAATACTGTAGGAATACTGTAGGAAGAAGAACTGGACTGGGCATCAGACAGCTATGGGTTTGATCCTGGTTCTTTCTGCCCCTGTTTGACTCTAACTGGGCTCACCCAATCTTGAATGCAAAGACGGTAAGAGCAACCAAAAAAGGAAACTTACTTGCAGCAGCAGAAGACCACATAGGGCTCATTTCCAAGTCAGCATCTCTCCCAAAAGATGGTGCAGAAGACCAGGTTGGGTGGAGAATTCACATTAGTATGGTATTATAATGATCTAAATTGCTTAGGGCTTCTTAAGCTTTCTCTGATCATGACCTCTTTACACCTGAGAATCGTTTTTATTACCTTTATTTATTATGTATGTGCACATGTATGCACAGGGCATGGCATGCATGTCGAGGTCCCATGACAAGTTGAGGGTATCAGTCTCTCCTCCCACCTTAGGGTCAGAAATAGAACTCAGTTTACCAAGCCTGACCACAAGCACTTTACCCACTGAACCATCTCACCAGCCAAACACATTTGTGTCTCAGTTTTATTTGATGTTGGATGAACCGTCATATAAAAAATGGTATACGAATCATTTGCTGGTAATAGCTCATGTTTTTTTTCTTTTAATTCCATGATACATGTATAATTTTACCATTTAGTAAAGACAAAAGAGAACGTGTATCCAAATGAGGTGCGTGTGCTTATTTTTATATAAAGAATTTACACTGAAGGATGTGGATCATCTATCGACTCCAATTTTTATTTTACAGTCATCTGTGCTGATGTCACTTTGCATAAAATGGCAGAAGTGCGTCCACCGCCATTTCAGAAATTACTGGAAATTCTCTAATCACAAACCAAACTTCATTGGACAGTGTGCGAGGGGGAGGGGGGTAGTGGTACAGGTGTGCCTCAGAGGTCAGAAAGCAGCTTAGTAGTCAGAGTTCTCTGCTTCCACCTTTACTTGAGTTTCAAACAGCAAACTCAAGTTGTTGAACTAACTGTCCTGCTGGTCTCCCCTTGGAAAAATGTTTAATTCAAATCAGCCACTCAAAAAGTAGGGGGTTTTTTGTTGTTTTGCTTTGGTTGTTTTGAGACGGTATCTCCTAAAACCTAGGCCAACCTTGAACTTCTTATCCTTCTACCTCTACTTCCCAAGTGTTAGCTATCTAGGATTATAGGTGTAAATATATCACCATACCCAATTTTATGTGGTGCTGGGATTGAGCTCAGGCCATTCTTGTTAGGCAAACACTCTCCTGAGCCATATCCTCAGCCCTCAAACTGCAATTTTTAAAACCGAGCATTCTGACATATCACAATTCAATGATATACTAATTTGATGATGTGCTGAAAATGATGGAAAATAGGAAAAGCATTTGTTTATGTACTGCTTCAATAAGAGGAGAAAACATTATATAATACAAGCACTGCAATTCATATCTTACAAAACACAAAAAACAGTATGAGCTGAGGTGTTTCAGGCAGGTGTTTTGGTTTGGTTTGGTTTTGCAGGGCTTTTTGTTGTTTTTGTTTGTTGTTTGTTTTTGGCATTGCATTCATGAAGCATGACCTATGCAAAGTGCATGTTGTGTAATCACAACTAAGACTGCAGTAAAGTCAACAGATAGGACACTGGCTAGTCAGAAACACCTAACTTGACATAGAGTGACAGGAACGATCAGGTCCCAGTGTCCCAGGGAAAGTCCCTTTGGAAGAATGTGTCCTCCCTTTCCTGGTTAAGTATCACCTTACCACCATCCATCTGTAACTTTTGATCCGTGTCAGTGAGGAGCCTGTCTCTGAAACAGCCATTCAGGGGAAATCCCCTATTTACTACTTTCTGTGCATACATGATAGGTGTGCCTATGTGTAAAATTATAGAAGTATAACTCAAGCCAGAGCAGAGCATCCAAAGTGATGTAACAATCTAATTGTCAATCGGGGTAAAAATCCACCAAGTTCCTGATCCTTGTATCAGCTCCACCCCCATACCTCAACTCCCAAGAAACACCTTGGAAGGATGTTAGCAGTTCTTTAAAGGGGAAAGGCATCAGCGCCTTCCCCCATAAGCACCCATGCTCAACCCTGAGGTCCTGCTGGCAGCTAGCAGCCTCAAGAAGCATGCCCTGTCCCTCCTTCCCAGATGTTTGCTGGAGTAGAAGAGAGCACTAGGCACATTGTCAGGCACTTGGTGTCCCTCCAAATCCAACAGCTGAATTCAAGTCAGGCTTTTATTCTCTGGGTTATTTCCATTCATAAGTTCACCACATCCTAGAAGAAACTAGGAAGCAAACCAGTAAAAGAATTTTTTTTTGTTTGTTTGACCAAAGTGAGGAGACACAGACTCCCTGGTTGTACCCACTTCCTTAGCAGGGTTACAGTCTCATGGACAGGCTGAAGCAAAGGTTCAGCCTGGAGTTACACACTGTTAAGTTGTCAGAACTGTGTGAAGCCCCTTCCCAGGAGGAAGGTCTCTTCTCTGATGTGATTAATCTTTTTCTTCTAGTATGAGAACCAGAGTCTCCTGTGTGGAAAGGCAAGGTAGAGAATACTGAATATGTCTGAAACACTCTACCAGGCTGATTGATTAGAATGCCCATGATTGTGAAGAGGTGGAATGTTACAGGCAGGAGCCAAACTATCTTGAGATATCTTAATTCCCCAAATAGTCATTTAAATCCTACGAGTGTGTTCGTGTGTGCATGTGTGTGAGCTAATGTCTTTATGACCATTAGGTAAATTCTTGTGCAATGTAAGAGCCCTAGCTTCCACCAACTCAAATGATAAGAATGTCTTAACACCTGCAACCTACAGACTTCCCCCATTTTGCTGTACCCACCTACCTCATGTGTTTCCACCAGTGTATTTTTCACATGTCTTGATGGCCAACAAGATGGCTCAGGGAGTAAAGGTGCCTGCCACTCAAGCCTTACAACTGAAGTTAGATGTCTAGAGCCCATGTAAGGAAGTCAGATGCACACATCTGTAACCCAGCACTCCTGTGATATGGGAGGCAAAAACAGGAGACTCACAGCTAGCCCAAAGCTCAGTGCAGCAAAACAAATGGAGGGGCAGTTAGTATGAAGTGACCTTATGTTCTAATTTTGAAATCAATTTTTGTTAGATATTAGAGCATATGCTTAGAATATCTTTGTCTTTCTTTTTATTCTGAAGTTACAGCTGTCTCTGAAGGTCAGGTGCATTTCTTGGGACTAAAAAACAGAAGAATCCTGTTTAACTCAATCTAGCATTCCATCTCTTGTCATTGTTAATTTTTTACCATTCAGTATTTTCCTATCCTCATTTGCTTAACTATTATTCATGCATTTTACTTTTTTTCCTCAGTGACATGTTTATCTTTCTCTTCAGTCTGAAGGATTACTACAAGTATCTTCTGTATTACTTCTGCTTAGTGGTCATGAATTCCTTTAGTCAACTTTTATCATAAAAAGCTTTTCTTCTTCAGTTATGATAGTTTTGCTGGATATAGCTGTGTGGTTGACAGGTATGTGCTCTAGAGTTTGAAATACATCATTCCAAGCCCTTCTGGCTTTCAAATCTTCTCGAGAGGTCAGGTGTTATTCTCATGGGTCTATCTTTACATTTGACTTGGTGCTTTTCTAAGGTTTCAATACCTTGTGTACTTAGTGTTTTCACTATGACATGGCAGGATGGTGTTATAAATGCTTTCTATACCTGAACAGGCATTTTAAACTTGAAAAAACTTAAAGAAAATTATATTATTGAAAATGTTTTCCATATCTTCAGCATGTCTTCATTTTTTTTCTAGGTCCAGGATTTTTGGACGTGGTCTTTTTATAGTGTCCTATATATCTTATTGCATTTTACCTTAGTCTGAACATTTCATCTATCTTGAATTCTATCCCTAGCATCCAGTCCTACTTTTGGTCCATTCTGTTGGTGACTTTCTGAAACCTTTCAACCTAGCACTTTCCAGTTCCAGTGGAACTAGCTCTACATTGACTTATTTTGTAATGCCTATCAACTTATTTCAGTCAGTCAATTGTATTCTTCCAGTTATTTGCTGTAGAATATTATTTTAAGGTGTGTTACTTTTGTTTATACTGCATCCGTTTAACTGTGAAGCTGAGTTACTCTGCCTGTCTAAAACACCTGATAGTCGTCTAATAAAGAGCAGAACAAGCAATATCGAGATAGGAGAGAGGAATAGGAGGGGCTGGAAGGCAGAGAGGATAAATATGAGAAATCTGGGAGAAAAGATAGGGAAACCAGAAAGGAAAGGGGAGGGCTCCAATGGCCTGCCACCCAGCTACACAGCCAGACATTGAGTAAGAAGGAAAGTAAAGGTAAACAGAAACAGAGACAGAAAAAAAGTCCCAAGGGCACAGATTCAACTCAATGCCCAGCAAAATTCTTCACAGACCTCAAAAGAACAGTACT